TATATATATATCACTTGAGTCATATATAAAAAAAATTATGGGACAAACACTCTACAAATGGAGGGAGGAGCCCACCTAAGGGGATTAATTTTGAGACAAATGGCCCACTAGTACAAGAGATTTAGAAATGATTAATTTTTTTATTATAATTTAAAACCATATTTTATAATTTAAATTTGTATTAGATTGTAACTAGAGAAAGTTGCATAGAGAAAATTTTTAATATTAGAGGCCCACTTTCCATTAATGGTTAGTGTGATTTAGTTTAAATTGTATTAGATTATGCGATATTTTTTTGTTATAATTTTAAACATTACTTAGTATAATTGTGATTTTAAGTTGTTAGTTTTTTTTAATAAATTTTATAACTCTAAAAAAAATTCATTTACTTTTATATGTTTTTGTAATATATTATTATGATTTTAGATAAATAAAAACAAAAACAAAATTAATTTTAATGTTATTAAAAAGATAAATATTTTTAATTGCTAATGTTAATATTTGTTTAAACAAATTTTTTATTCTTTTTTTAATTTTGACTTTTAGTAGTTATAAAATTTATAAAATCAAAAACTAGAAATTACATTCATATTAAACAAAACATTATCTTATATTTGGATCGAGAGGATTGAAAAGAAGGAGAAGAAAATAATATCCTTTCATTCCCTCCTCTAGTCCCCTCCCATTCTCTTCTTTCTCCTTATTTAGATAAATAATTAAATTTTTTTAAAATAAAATAAATTTTTTTCTTTCCTCTCCTCCCTCCAACCCAAATATATTGATAAGCTTCGTTTAGTATTTGTTATAATTTTGAGTTTTTTGTTTTAGTTTTCAAAAATCAAACAATCAAAACTAACAATTAAAACTAAAATTAAAAATTAAAATTGTTAACTTATTAGTTATAAAATTTTAAAAACAAATACTCGAAACTCAATACTTAATTAATTTATAGTACTTGATTTCATTTTAGGGTTTTTAAATTTTAAAAAATCAAGAACTCAGAATCACCACTATACTAAAAATATCCTTAATAACTAACTCTCTAAGTTCCCCAAAATTGTCATTATTTTTTCTACAAAAAAAATTCTTTCCCAAAGTTTCATTTAAAAAAAATATAAAAAAATATAGTTATAATGTTAAATGATATTGTAAATTTACAATAATAAAAGTATAATTATACAATTGACTCTTTATATGCCTACAATTTTATATGTCATTGTAACTATATTATTGTAAATATATATATATATATAGGAAATTAAAAAAATAAACCTCCTCTAGTTGGGTTGTGGGGTTTAATTAGATTTTAGTTTTATTTATATTTATATTTAGTAACTAGATTTTAAAATTTACTGCTTCCATTTTATTTTACCCCTTTTGTCTCAAAATAATATACATTTTTAGATTTTGAATTTCTTAAAAATAATAATCACATTTTCATATTTTATGGGATATAAATATTTTTTAATACTTTAATTTTATCATTATCTCATGATTTTAATGATACCTCACGTCATAAAAAAAATCTCTTTATTTTTTTAAAGGACAATATAGGTATTATATAAATTGTCCCAAAATGAAAAAAAAAAAGAAGCATTTATTATTTTCCGACAAAGGGATTAGTAGGCTTAGTTTTTTTTCTAATTAAATAAAAATATGATAATTAATTTATAAAATTTTATACTTATCCCTTATTAACCACCACCACTACTTAAATAAGCCTTTTTTTTATTTAATGTATGTTGTAATTAGATAAATGAAGAGTAAAATTAAAATAAACACATTAAATGACATCCTATATATATAAAAAAAAGTAAACAATTAATATTCCATTTAGTATGGTTATGATTTTAAGTTTTCAGTTTTACTTTTTATAAATTTTGCAATTATTGAAAACAAATACTAGAAAATAGAAATTATAAATTCATTAAAACAAATACTAGAAAATAGTATTAAAATTATTTTTATTCTTATTTCTCTAATAATCGTAATAATATATTGTAAAAATATGTAAAATTAGACGAATTTTATGTTTAGAGTTGCACAATTTATAAAAACCAAAACCAAAATCTCAAAACTATAACTATATTAAAAGAAGCCTAAACTATTAAAAATTAAAAATTTTAAGTCTGATAACTAAAAATATTTACTTATTTAATAATATTTAAATTATTTTGATTCTTATTTCTTTAATAAATCATAATAATATATTACAAAAACACATGAAAGTAAATAAATTTTTTGTTTCAAATTCCAAAATTTATAAAATTTAAAATCATAACCATTCTAAACACAACATAAATTTAAATGTTTCACATTAAAGATTAAATCAACTAAACTTAAACGAATAAAATATCATATTTAATTTAAATATAATATTAGTCACTATATAAAAAAACTTAAAACTCAATTAAACAGAGCCTATGGTGCAAAAAAGAATTAATTTTGGATCAAAGGGTTTACATTTTAATAAGGATATATTTAATAAGAAAATGAAAAGGACTAAACAAGAAGCTAAAATATATTTTT